ACAAGAAAGGGCACATCAGGTGAGTGTCATTCATTTGCGAGACAGCAGTGCTTCAGGAGAGTCTTAAGAAGGTACCATGAAGAAAAAAAAAGGTATCATAATGCTAAGTTGCACCTTCCCTCAGAGAGAGTCCATGTGGTACAAAGGGTTATTCACTCATCTGCTAATTAAAAGAGTGACACTTTAAAGCTACTTAATGACTCTCCTGAGAAATTCTTGGCAATCAGCTTCCATAATAAATATGGCCATAAAACCCTGTGGGACAGTTACATACGGTCATTATTTGCTGGCACTGACCCAACAGCACTTAACAATAACATATGCAGTTAATTGCTAATGAGTCAATTCATACTCATAATGATCCTACAAAAGACAGAGTAAAGAGCCACCCCTAGTCCTATGCCATTTTCTTAATTGTTGCTATGTTTTTGCCCATTGTTGGCAGCCACCGTATCAGTCCATCTCATTGGGGGTCTTCTCACCATTTTAATCCCCCCTTTTTTTCTGATGACTTACATGACCGCCCATGATCTCCATTTCCAGAAATTGGTTCCATCTGTGGACATGTCCAAAGTATGTGAGCACTTTTATCATCCTTCCATCTAAGGAGCCGATAGCTGTACTTTTCCAAGATAGACTTCTTCCATCTTATGGCAACCCATGGTTTGTTCAAACGATCCCTTTGGTTGACACCAGGGCATGGAAACCCATAGCGCCAGTGCAGTACATCTGGAGATACACCCCACTTTTTGAAATAGTGATTTATACTGCTTGGCTTTTAAGAAGGATTACATCCATAGCTGATTTCTCTCATTAAATGAAATCTGGGAGAGGTTTTTCACTTTATAAAAAGAGGCAGAAGCAAAAGTAGCACTCAGTGTTTGTCATACAGGGAACCGTAACACCCTGAATAGTGAGAGTGAAGTTGCCAATCTCATTCCCTGGGAACTACACTGTACATACATTACTTTTAAGTTAAATAGGTTGTATTTTTCTTATGTCCCCTTTTACTCTATATTCATATTAGCATTTTATGTCTTAGTGAGATTTAGTACATTATTTTCTGATTGGGAGAACATTCACAGATTTTTCTATATAACTTAGTGCAATTGCTTCTTTCCTACATTTGTTTACCTAATGATTCTGTAACAAGAGTAAGAGACACATATGTCCTTAACAAGCATACATTTATCCTGTCAGTTTCAGAGGCTGGAAATTGACATTTAGGGTGCTAGCTCAGTAGGAAGATTTTCTATCTATTGACTCACAATTTAGGGAAAGGACCTTGACTCCTTTCATCATCCGTGGGTCTGGTATTCCTTAAAGATCTAACCCTTCCCCTGGGTCCAGGAAATGTCCCCTGTACAGGCACCATGGGTTTAAAGAATATGCTCAGCTCCTTCCTGATTCTTCTTTCTTGGAGCTAGTAGGCACCTCTGACCTCTGCTCAATTGTGTAATCCCCTTATATGTCGAGATTAATTGAAAATATTACCTAAACCTACATCCTGCCTCATTCGCATAACTAATCTTGCTCCATCAACATCATAGTGGTGAATTTTTACAACACATAGAATAATTATAACAAATCACAAAATGGAAGGTAATTCCATAAAACTGAGTATCATGACTCAACCCAATATATGCATGTTTTGTGGGAGGACGCAGTTCAGTGCAGAAGATTCCTCTTACACTATTTCTAGTATAAAAGGTTTTGTTGAAATGTTCTATTTTCTGATAATGGGGAAAACATATATATATTTCAAACTTCTCTATTTTTTTCCCACTCATGCCAGTGCCACTAGATTTAATCATACCCCAATTTTTATGTTGTAGATGAGCATAAATCTTTTTATCCAACCAAGTCTTATATCTGTATGTGATCTGCTTTAATATGAGCTCACAGAGCTTTCACAGTCTACTATTTTCATAAATACGAGTCAGGCATACTTCCCTTATATACAGTTATCAGGAGGTTCCACACTGAAAATAATGGTAGCATCTCTGCCAGGTGATTTACTGTATGAAACAGATTTTCTGTATATGACACTGGCGAAATGTTAACAACTTTTTATTCAACAGCATGCTGTCTGTTTTCAACCGAAGACATATTGTAGAGAACCTCTATGAAAACAGTGAAGACACTCAGTGTGGACAGACTTTCAGTTGGATTTCAAATCTTTGTATGCTCAGAACTCCAGGGGAAGCACATCCTTCTGAATACCTTAAGTGTAAAAAATCCTTGATGGATAATTCTTCACATAAACAGATCACATCTGACTCTACATACAATGCGTGTCAGTGTAAGGAATATGGAGAAGCCTGCAGTTCTCCCTCTTCTATTGGCCCTCCTGTGAGAACTCCTAATGGAGAAAAACCATACGAATGTAATGAATGTGGGAAAGCCTTTACTTGGCCATCACAACTCATTTCTCATTTAAGAATTCACAGTGGAGATCGGCCTTATGAATGTAAGGAATGTGGAAAAACGTTTCGTCATTCCTCACAACTCACTCCACATATGAGAATCCACAGTGGAGAGAAGCCTTATGAATGTAAGGAGTGTGGGAAAGCCTTTCGTCATTCCTCACACCTCACAAATCATATACGAACCCACAGTGGAGAGAGGTCTTATGAATGTAAAGAATGTGGTAAAGCTTTTCGTAATTCCTCACAACTCATTATACATATGAGGACCCACAGTGGAGAGAGGCCTTATGAATGTAAAGAATGCGGGAAAACTTTTAGCTGGTCATCACACCTCACTTCACATTTAAGAACTCACAGTACAGAGAGGCCTTATGAATGTAAGGAATGTGGAAAAGCGTTTCGTCATTCCTCACACCTCATCATCCATATGAGGATCCACAGTGGAGAAAGGCCATATGAATGTAAGGAATGTGGGAAAGCTTTTAGTCAGTCCTCAGACCTCACGAGACATATGATAACTCACAGTCGAGATAGGTCTTATGAATGTAAAGAATGTGGGAAAGCCTTTCGTCATTCCTCGCACCTCACTATACATATGAAAATTCACAGTGCAGACAGACCTCACGTATGTAAGGAATGTGGCAAACCCTTTTGTCACTCTTCACATCTCACAAGTCATATGAAAATCCACAGTGGAGTTAGGTCTTATGAATGTAAGGAGTGTGGGAAAGCCTTTCGTCATTCTTCGTACCTTCTTATACACATGAGAACTCACAGTGGAGAGAGGCCTTATGGATGCAAGGAATGTGGGAAAGCCTTTAGCCAGTCCTCACACCTCACTGAGCATATGAGAACGCACAGTGGTGAGAGGCCTTATGAATGTAAGGAATGTGGCAAAGCCTTTCATCAGTCCTCAAATCTCACTAGACACGTGAGAACTCACATTAGAGATAAGTCTTATAAATGTAAGGAGTGTGGTAAAACTTTTCATCAGTCCTCACACCTTAATGCACACATAAGAACTCACAGTTGAGAAATGTGTGAAAGAATGAAATAAAAGAATGTGGGAAAGCTTTTTGCCATGTTCAGTACTTAAAACTAAAAACTAAACTCACTGCTTGGAGTCAGTTCCGACTCAGTGATCCCATAGGAGAGTAGAACCTCTCCTTAGGGGAGCAGAAAACCTTTCTCTTTCATAGAGTGGCTAGTGGGTTGCAAATGTTGAGTTTACAGTTGTCAGCACAACACATAACCTATTGTACTGCCAGTATCTGAACATAGATACCCTCACAGTACCAGAGACCTTGAATGAAAGGAATGTGGGTAAGCTCTTAATTATTCCTTATAACACACTGAATATTTGAAACATCACCCTGGAGATTAGCAATTTGATTATGCAGAATGTGG